CGTAAAGCTATGCAATTATTAAAGCGCTCTTATGAGATTAGAATATTAAGACATTTTAAAGAAAGAAACTAAAAAATATATGCCGCTACAGATGCCGCTGTGTGCTAATAAGCGTACATAAATACGAATCATCGACTCGTTGCAGCTGTGGGAATTAAATGATTACAGGCCACGTGACCGCTGAGTTTAGGCAACCCACATTGCTCGACTGGGACTGTTTAAAATTCCCTAAATGTTAGCGCCACCAATATTAATAATTCATTTACAATGAACAATGACAAACTGTTGCGTCTACGCTCGAGATAATGCGATAGCTGACGGTTGAAAAACTTTAATTTTACCGAAATTTAATTGCCAATGCGAAGGAAATAAAATCACTGTTACAAACAAAATTACTAATCACGTGGCTTATTATCATTTATGAAGGTTATGTATTTAACAAAAGTAGAGCGTGCTAGTCGTTTCGAAATTGCCCCAGGTCCTATATTTCGAAAGAGCAGTCGTCTAAATCAAAATGTGGGACGCTAAGATTAAAGGAACCCCTATTAAGATGATCAGCTCTATAATAATCTTTGATAAAACAAGCTACAAGTGTTTGGGCCCGGCAGAAATATGAGTTCTTAGTGGGGCATTCGAGTCGTGCTGTAGTATTACTTTTATCAACTTTTTTTATGTGTACCTACAAAAACCATGTTGTTTACATCGGCGTTTGGAGATTAAGGGGATTATTATTGACTATTGTTCTAGTTGTATTTACTAAAGTAATAAATAAGGATTTTATAGCGCCTACTTGCTATATTAAATGCAACTTCTAGATTAATATAGTTTTCGCGCAATGGTATGAGATCTTAGATTACTATTTAAGAGGGGTAAAAACTAATTTACGTTTAAATGTTCAATTTTTGAAAAAAAAATCTTTTCTTCTTCGCTTGAAAATTTTTCAAAACCAGATATACTCCTGGTCTTCTGTCACAGATGTTTGTACATAGATCAAAGCAATTCGTCCACTATGTAGTTTTCTTTTCCTAAATATAATAGACTTAAGGAGGTATATCGGGATCCGAGGGAAGTGAGGAGCGCAGGGCGGATCCTATGCTTTTCTTATGGGACTAAAGCCCGCTGCCAATTTGAAAAAATTAAATTCTATTGAAATTATTTGCAATAAACATTATCTAACACCGTGTCCACCTAGTGGAAGTTGACCTGCGATATACAGGGGGCAAAAAAATCGTGCCAAACCTGATAATTTAAAATTTGAAAAATCTCGACTTTTTCAAATAGAACACCCTGTCTTTTATGATTTCATTTTATGCCTTTCTGTAGACCCCACAATTTTTTAATAGCTTTCCCTATACCTAAGTTGCGTAGTTTTTACAAAAAAAACATTTTTAAGTAAAACACCTGTATATCGCAGGTCAACTTTTGATACGTTTTTTGAAAGAGCCATCTTCAGTTCTAGAGTTCCTGAAAAACAAATTATTTCTAGCTGTCATACAATCATAATTATGTCAACTACTAAAAGTGACGAAACATGAGAAAAAAAATGAAAGATCATAACACAAAGTCCCGTTAATTTTTCACGTAGAATTCGATAATGCCATAAAAAATATAGGTTTCCATTAAAAAAAATTAAGTCGGTACCTGCCCAGGAAAAACTGAACACCCTATATATGCAAATATATTTTCATTTTGTGCAGCTCGGGAAAGTAGGCAACTCTGTAGAAAAAAAATTAAGTTATATCTTTTATTAACCTAAATATTGGACTTCCGCTCACTAGGTGGATACGGTGTATATAGCAAAGAAATCTACTCATATGCACATAGCATACATATTGACTAATTAAAATCATACAAATATCATATTTAAGTAGTTTTAAGTTATATTTAATGAACGCATAAAGACTATGTAGATGTGGCAACAGCGCTAATAATCGAATGCAGTTGTACACACTGCGAACCTATAGACCTCGGACATCGGAGATATTGCGCATCAAATTCGGGTAAAGATGCGTACGCGTTCAAAAATGTTAGGTATAGGCATTGCTTCACAAAAAAAAAGTTTATGTTTTTTCCTTTTAAAATAAGCCTTTGCAGAAGTACCTACTACTAACCGAGATACATTGGATCAAAGTTGGCTACTTTTTGGATTTTTGGCCAATTTTTGCCCTCTGACGATTTTCGTCTTATAACTTTTTTCTGAGTTAATTTAGGTATATGTAATGCATATTCAAATGAAAGCTGGTTTCAAGACCTTTAAAATGGTGCCTAGTAGAAGTTTATACAATAATTAAATTCAACCGAGACATGTCAATTTAACCAACAATACTTTTTCTTTTTATAATTTTTTTTTACTTTCGGTATTATTTTGTCTAATAAATTTATTTTTGTGAATGTGAAAGTTAAAATAAGTTTCTAGGTCACTGAATATTATTATTTATTTATTTAAACAACAATTAATCATATTTATCGTGTAAAATTTCGAATTATTTTAATTATTTTTGTACTTTTAATTAAATAATTACAATTACAAAAAAATTTTTCAATTTTGTAAATAAGAATTTTTCAAAATTAAAAAATTACCTCGATGTATTTTTACCTGAAAATGCTAGTGTTGAGGATATCACTGCTGCATCTGAATGCATTGTAACTATAACGTATAGTTCAAAAATTGACAGCCTAAAAACTTGTCGATATAAATTATTTCAAAAGTATTCAACAAGTGCAAAATTTATTATCTCGATTGCCTTCAACAACTGATGCTCTCAAACATCATGGGTTCAGAGTATATTTTCAGATGCAAAAGTGGAATGGTTCTACTTTAAATCCCTTTGATTGGAGTTGGAAAAATTCCATAAACGGGCTAGTTCCCATTTTTAATAGTAAATCTCATGCACCTGAAAATTTACTTGAAAAAATAGCCTGTAAATGTATTAAAGAATGTATGGGAATAAATTGTGAGAATGCTTATGAGCCTGATTTTTCTGAAGAGGACATTCATGAAAATGATGACGAAATTGATATTAATATTGAAAATATACTAAATGAAACTGAAAATTTAAAAGATATATATGATTAACTGTTGTTTAAATAAATAAATAATAATATCCAATCACCTAGAAACTTATTTTAACTTTCACATTCACAAAAATAAATTTATTAGACAAAATAATACCGAAAGTAATAAAAAATTTATAAAAATAAGAAAAGGTATCGTTGATTTTAATTGTACAAACTTCAACCAAGCACCATTTTAAAGGTCTTGAAACCAGCTTTCATTTGAATATGACATTACATATACCTAAATTAACTCAGAAAAAAAAGAGCAAAAATTGGCCAAAAATCCAAAAAGTAGCCAACTTTGTTCCAATGTATCTCAGTTTCTATTAGTCGTAGGTACTTCTATAAAGGCTTATTTTAAAGGAAAAAACATTAACTTTTTTTCTGTGAAGCAATGCTTATACCTAACTTCTCTCAGAAAAAAGTTGTGGGCCAAAAACTAAAAAGAAAAAAAACGCATTTTTTCGGGTTTTTTTACTCGTATTTTGGGCATATTTTTGTTAAAAATAAACTTTTTAGACTTCAGAAGGTCTCATTTCGATTGGAAATTCAATTTGCTACAACTATAGTGAAAAAATGCATAGTTTTCGAGTAAAACACATAAAACTGAAAATACCACCATTTTACTTCGATCTCAAAAACGCACCCCTTTAAAAGGTAGCACTCCGCGGTTTTATCATTGTTTAGGGTCAATAGAACATATCAAACAATAAAATTTCTGTTACGTTGTAGTTGCTATCTAAAGTACATAGTCAATAGCCTATAAAATGTGCAATAGTTTTTTCACATTCAAACTCGACTGGAGTATTATATCGCAATTGGGTAAACTTTAGCCAGTCCGTGGCCAGTTATTCTGTCCTCATTTGAAAAGTAACTCCCCTAATATTTCCCATTTTTATAAGTATGTATTTTGTAAATAAATGTTTCAATAAATTTATTTGATTCCCTATTTTTACCCACGCAGCAAGCATGCGAGTAACCTCAAAGAAATTATATTCTTATCATAATTTTCAGTATAAGACTTTTTATTATAGATATTCTCTGGAAACTATACTTATTTTAATTTTAATTCATTATACGGATCACACTTGGTATTTAGTTACTATCAATTAATATTTGTTAACTACAAATATCATTTTATGGAAGAATCTGCATGAAAAAAGATAAAATTAAATATATTTTTTCATTCAAATTTCTTTTGTATCTATCTTGATAGTTTTCCTAGTCAATTTATAGATTCTTCTTCGATTAAAAATACTTTTAAAAATTTTATAATTTGAGTAATCCTTTCTCTCAGTGTTCATTTCTATTCCGTGCTTCTACATGCAATTTTATTTCTCCCCAACATAATTTTCCTTTTACATGCATGACTTCCCCCACGCTATTATTTCCATGTATGTGGGAAATTTGCCCCGAAGTTGTGCACTATCACATGCTAGAGGACATTCACATGCTTTGCGTATTCATTTGACATGTAGCAGCACCTATGCTAAATGGAGACATTCGTGTCTACCTCGTTAGTAAATGAGCAACCAACCACTTCCTTTATTATGTAGGTACCGAGTAAAATATAGGCCTTCAAATTATTTTCCGCAGTGCGAAGCAATTTCCAAAGCTGTAAAGGTAAAAAGGATCATTATTATTATTGGAAGAAAGATGGTTTCAAATATATAGGATCGCATATGGCACCAGATATCCATGTTCATTTTATGTTCATTGTAGGTCTGAACGCACTAGGACTAGTACGGATGCAGACATTCAGGGAATGTTGATAAAAATATATTTTACTTACGTTATCACGTACTATTTTTTTATACGTACACTCTTTGTAAAACATACCTATCTTTTACACAAAATTATGTAATTTGGAATATCCCAGAAAACCTGCATTACCAATTAGATCTTAGGAAGCTCCATTTATTTATCATTGGTGGATTTCTCAGGGACGTTCAATTGTGTGGAAACGGATATCTCAAGGATGCCCATTCTATGTCCCACGTACCTAAATATACATTCATTTGAACATCATAATATCTATTAATGCCGTCTACTGTATGTATATTTTGTAAACAGTAGGCACATCCTTAGGATGTGCCTAAATTGTCTTAAACGTCCATCTATGGTCCCATTGGTGGATATCCCAGGCCTATGGGAAAACGGATATCTCTAGGACATCCATCAGACGTCCAACGTCCCGAAACAGGCATCCATTGTCCAGCGTCTATCATAAAACTATGTTGCGTAAGGATTTTTTGAGACTGAAACAACAAATTTTTTTTTAATTTTTTCAATTTTTTTAGCTAATACACTAAATTGGAATAAGAAAATTTCGACGGCATTAAGTTATAATTTTTTGGTACGCAAAATAAAGGAGAAGTACAAAATGTAATTTGCTACAGAACCTATTCTATAATTATGTCTAGACAACACAGCGTACAATGAACGATCACTGTTGGTTGCCTAATGTTGACGCAGGAACTAAAATATATATTTAAAAATAATCTGATAATATATTTATTATATACCATCTATATTGTTTTAGTAACTGATACCTAAATATATAAATTCTTTTTCCCATTTAAAAATAAAATATCTTTTGTTTTTGAACATACCTAGAACATCTGTACTCCAGGAATCACAATTATTCTGATGATTAACTTTTGAATAGAAAATTTGTCTATCGAAATTTAGAAGTTTAGTGAATACAAAAAGGCAGACCATTTACAATTACATTTATGTTTACTTGAGAAAAAATAAATTATTATTCCTGTATTTCATATACTGTTTAAATTGACTTATTTTTATTTTAAAGTAGGTAGGGTTTTGAACATACTTTAAATACAAGCTAGTTTAGTTCTTGAATTTTTATCGTAGTTTTGATTTTTCAATTATCTCCTTTTCTGTAAAAAATAAATTTGGAAAAAATCCATTATTCCTGATAAAATTTAACGTTTATACAGGGTGTTTCTAAAATAGGGTTCCAAACTTCTGCTGCGTTTATAACTCATTAAAATAAGCCAAAAAGTTTCTATTAACATGTGCCCTAAAACGCACCGTTAGGAAGTTATATGCCCTTAAAAGGGCTCAAACAAAACTGGTATTTTTTTACTTAAATTTTCCACTCACCACTTTTACTTATTAAACACTGCAAAGCTCAATTGACAGTTTATCAATAACTTAAATTGTTAAGCGTTGTGGCAACGTTAGTCTTTTATTTGCCATGGTAAACAGATTTTTGTAATTTTTGGCCTAATAACTTAAAGAACAGAGTAATTTTCAAACTCAATTTACTCGAAAACCATTGGAAATATCGATTTCGACAAAGATAATATTTTTTACGTAAAATTGTTAATATTTTATAAATCAGTAGAGAAAATTGTAAAAAAATTGAAATAAAAAAAATTACGGGCCGAAAACCCCCTTCACCAATCTAAATGGGACGTAAAGCGTTTGAGCCCTTTTAAGGGCATATAACTTCCTAAGGGTGCGTTTTAGGGCACATGTTAATAGGAACTTTTGGCTTATTTTAAAGAGTTATAAACGCAGCAGAAGTTTGGAACCCTATTTTAGAAACACCCTGTATAGGTATATATTCAAGGAAAATTTAAAATTAATAGTTAAGGTACCAAAAACAACAAGACAGCAGACTTATATAGCTATTGTTAATTTTGCGTAGGTATTTAAAAGGAAATAATAAAATATTTTTCAAATGTCCAATGTATTTATGAGCGACACAAGTTATCTTGTGGTCATAAAAACGTAAAATAGTTATTAGTTTATTAATTATCCCTGGAATATAGTTAATAAACTAAATCAGTAACTTCGATATTGTTAATTCTAATTGTATGGTTTTATTAATCAAACTCTCTTCCATATTTTTGAGGATATTGTCCTTAATGTTCTCACATATAATTTTAAATGTTACTCTGTACCTACCTTGTAGCTCATGATTTATTACACTGCTGAATGATAAATTGAAATTTTTTGCATAGCAATCCACATTTTATGGGAATATGAAATAGTTATTGCGTTCGGATTCATATCTCTTCATATGCTCAATCTTAAAGTTGACTCATTTAGAATTCTGTCTGAGACTGCAGCATAAATGTACTGATATATATTCTTCTTGGACAATTTTATGTACTGTCAAATATAACTTTGTGAGGAATTCAAGGCAATATTTAAGTAGTGATTTTTGAGGGACAGATCGAACACTCGAGGAGGGAAAGAGAAGTATTCCTTGGAAATGGAATTTAAATTTTGTATAGGTAGTTTCGCAAAAATTGATTGAAGTATTCGTAGCAATTTACAGTAATTTTATAGAACTATTTCTATAAAATCAACATACATCGTGGTTTTATAAAAGCCTGTGTAACAAATATTTTTTTAGCATGCTTTTATTGCACGAAGGCCTAACACTAAGAACATCGGTGTTTTATTCATTATTTATTTTTAACACAGTGAATTGAACTACATTGCAATTAACTCAATTTTCATAATTAAGAATTCAAAACTCCTTATTTTGCAAACATGGTTGCAGATGACCGTCCAAAATTATGACTCATACCCTGTGAATTTGGTAATCCAATTTCGTTTGGTATTTTCTCAAAGACACTAACTATGGGTTGAACAGAATATTTTCCATGACAGTAACAAACAAGCGTATCCTAGTAACATATAAACAATATTTGGCAATGTTGTCACGCGTACTTACGGATTTATTTCATACACTTTTTTATCAATGTGTGTGTTTTGCGTTACTGTATTTAATTAAATGTATGATGTAGGTATTGATAAAAATCAACGAATACCTGTAGTTTCAGATAATATTTTGCAGCGTTGTCATATTTAGGTTATTTAATCATAATTTCGTCAATACTACTATTTCCATTTTCCACATGCAAGTAATTATGATGATACCGTTAAAAATATGCTCTAATTTACTATTTATTGTGTTAAAAACAAATTCAGAATTCAAATCAAACATTTCGTCCTGTATTTTTTCTTTTAGTACATGTAAATTTTGAGGTCTTTAATTTTATTTTGTTGAAGTGTCCCCACAAAAATATGTCTAAGGGACTGAGATTGAGGCTGTTTTCTGGCCACCTAAGGTTTTTAATAATATTTTTTTTGTGTTCGTTGACGGGGTTCTTCCTTCAAAATATTCCTGAAGAACTTTCGCACATTTTTGTTGAATAATACAGTTTATGTTTTATTTTTCATCAGCAGAATAACCCATTTTAATTTTTTTAAATTAAAATGGTTTATTCTGATAATGATAAATCCCATGTATTTTTAAAGAAAGGTTCGTTTCTGTCATTTTTGTCTGATTGTGTGCGAGAAAGATGGAGTTATACTGTGCGACAGAGATAGAGTGATTTTGTAGTCACAAAGGGCTTCTCTCTGTTATCAGGAGTATCTAGGGCTTCCCCAGCATCTTCAGGACACCTAGGGAGGGAGCGTGGGGTAGAGCGCGTGGCCTTTTCAGCCTTCGTCATCGAGCTATGACGTCACAACGTATGAGGAAAAAAAACAATTTTTGCTCGTAACTCGGAAATTGTTGGAAATATAAACAAATCTCCCCTTGGCTCCGAGTAGAGCACTTGGTGGGTTAGGCAGAGCGGGGCGTCACAATATGTATGTGAAAGAAAAAAAACAGTTTTTGCTTGTACCTCAGGAAATAACTCGAAATATCTTCCATGGTTCTAATTGGTGATCGAGTGAAAGAAAAAATCTCTCCACACTCCCGGTTCTGATTGTCTCTTCTCCGTTGAATGCAAAAGGTCCGGAGTCCGTATGTCGAAAATAAATTTCGGAAACAAGATGTGTGTGAGGTGATACAGTAAAAAAGTCTTATAACTCGGAAACGGCGCATTGAATCGAAAAAATAATTAAAAATATCTCCCCTATCCCCGTGGTTCTGACTATCCGTTTTACGTTGAATGGAAAAGGTCCGAAGTCCCAATGTCGAAAAACAAAAAAGTTAGTCAAAAATTGCAATAGCAGTAGCGAACGCATTACCTATCTTATCTCTCATTGATTGATGATTTGTTGTTTTTTTTTAAATAAATTTCGTATTCAACCACCTCTAGAATTTCCAACAATTTTATTAAATAAATTAAGGTACCATTATTCTTAAGGAAATTTTAAATTTATTTTTTTTTTGAAATAAATAATTAATTAGGTAAATTCATAGTTTTAATTGTAACTTGATTTATTTTTTTTAGCGTTTAATAGAAATGTCATTTACAAACAAAAGATAAGTTCCATGTAACTCTCGGCGCGGCGGTAGCCGAAGCGGCCAAGGCTTGCCTACAGAGGCGAGCCAGGGCTGTGCGGCAAAACCGTAGTGGGTTCGAATCCCGCACGCGGCAGGAAAATTCGAAGGAATTTTCCTGTCGTACCATGGATGTTTGTAATTGAGGGGTCCAATGCAATAACCAGCCAAGTCCACCGAAGCAAAATGTTCAGGAGAGCAAAAAAACTGTGCACACACAGGATGAAGGTAATTTGCTATTTTTTATCATGCTATTGGGTTGAGGTAGTCTTGGTGAAGTTACTTCCGAAATTTTAGGGACCCAAGTTTGAAATTATAAAAAATATAAGCAAAAAACTGATGGACTTGCCTGGTTATTGCAAAGTAGTCAAGAAAAATTACAATTAAATAAATAAAATCTGAAAGAGTAAGGGGTATTGGTTTATTTCCAAAAAGAATTATGAAATGTACATATATTGTTACATTATTTTCACATAAACAAACAAAATTCGTCTTCTCATCGCTGCTTAAATTCTGACACTGAAGTCAGATTATCAGTATCTTTAAAACACCTATGGTAATCTTCAATAGCTTGATAGAACCAAAAGTCACATGGAGGTACATAGTTTCTAGCTAAAGTCATCACATGATCAAATTTGTTTTTTTTTTTAATTTTCTTCTCCCCGTGTATAATTTTTGCTCATCACTCGGTAACGACTTTTTTCCAAAACTTTTTTGTTTTCTATTTTAAAAGTATGAAAAATTGGATTGCCCACTGACTCACTCAAATTCAGCATAAAACTAACTTTTAGACGTTATACTGATCACAAACTCGTATCAACAGCACAGCTATGCAACAATCAGCCAAGTCCAGGACTTGCCTGGTTATTGCACAGTTTTGTTATGCAGGCAACCACCAATTCATCCGCATATTCCATATTTGTTGACATACAAACCTTATTTTTACACAGGACGCTAGAGAATTTTATACTGTGCAAGAACATATTCATAACTAAATTTACCAAAAAATGGACTTGCCCGGTTATTGCATTGGACCCCTCAATTGTTAAGGTGGAGGGTAGTGTAAGTTAGCAGGCAAAAAGGGCCAAGCATGGCCTAATTGCTGGTAAGCTTCATTATCTTTACCTCTCTCCATGTAACTCTCAAATTACATAATTAAACG